CAATTGAGAGGCATTCCTGCCGACAGCAACATTCGCATAATGAGCGATTGGGGCATAAACTTAAGGGAACAAGACCTGCTTAGGAAGCGCCCACGAGACAACTTTGCCTCACCTTTGTGATTTCATTTCAGGCCAACAGAACATGTGGACCACCACCAAAGACGGCTTTCGGCTCGGCTAGCTACTACTCCAGTAGTAGTCACGTTCCGAACAGACTACAACTTACGGAATTACCAAGCTTCAGCTCAAGTGGCAGTACACCAAGTACCTAGCTAGACAAGAGTTTTAGGAGTTCAGATTTCCTATTTTGTGTTGTTTTACTATCTTCGAAACAGCCTGCATTTAACTAGACGATGTTTCGCTTTTATTGCATGGCAAAAGAATCTGCACAAGACAGATCCACCAGGTTTTTTTAATTGTTGATCCAATCGGCCATCTTCGTTGAGGTGGTGCTTCTAGATGTCAATGTTGCTACTGAGCTCCCCACCAACCAATCCAGCCTACGCCAGTTGACACCAATAGAATTGCCTTTTTAGAAAGCTCCAGCAGCAGCATGGTCCAAGATACCAGATGCCATGACATCAAAGCCACAGAGGTCTTTCTCGTCATCAGCCGAGTGCTTGCAGACCTTTTCAGCAGTAGCCTTGACTCTCCAAGACGATGGGCATCACTCTTCGGGCCGGGCATGACACAATTCTGGGGGGACTGGGTTTCACAGTTGACAGAGAAAAGCTTGGCATCAGTGTGCTAGATTTGAACATACACTCCTGCTGGCTTCTTTTGATTCATCTTTCATGGCAAGCCCAACACAGGCAACAACGGCTAGCAGTACCGTAATAGTTGACAATTAGTAATAAGTGATAAGTGATACGCTGCTGTGGTACCTACGTTTTTCTTTTTCTGTCACAGTATCCAAGAAGATCATGGCCAGCAACGAAGCCGAAGACGACCACAACAATGAAGGAGAGAATCCGGGCGAGGCGACATTGCTGGTCTCCGAGTTTCCACCTCCTCCCTTTTACTACAAGGCGGCGGCACACTTGGAGCCTCCGGAAATTCCGTTCGATGCGTTGGCTCGAGGCACCAAACGTGCGGCCGCCTTTGCCGCCGGGGCTCGCGCCGAATCGGAGCGATTGCGATTGGGAGATGACGATCCGGACAAGACGGATGCCATTTTGGGTGGATCGGTGCCCACGGCGCCTGGAGAAGACGAAGAAGGAGATGTCGTCGCCGTCTTTGGAGAAATTGTCGAAGATCCCGTTGTCGTGGAACCATTGGAGCCGTGTGAAAATCCAACGGTGATTCGAGATGAAGTCAAACGGTACGTTGGTCGTTGGGGTGGCTGTACTTATAAGTATGGTTGTATCACATGTGATCAGCGAAACCTCATGGCATGATTGATTCCTCTAATGTTATGCATTCTGGCTATTGAAGACTGAACAGAGAAGTCATACAGGGATTTGTCAACCTAGTCCAAGAACTGGTGCACCGACCAATGGACAACAAGTAAGAATCACGTCGCATATTTTATTGTTGTATCCGCCTGCTTTGATTGTGTGCTTGGCTGACAATCAACCCCCTTTCTTTTGGTGTCCTCCTTTCTTTTAGGAAAATGAGAGATGAGTTATCTCATAATGTGTTTCTGATGCTACAAGAATGCAACAAATTCCGTGAGCATCAAGCACGAGAATTATTGATTGATTTATTGGAACAAGAACTGTCAGAACGGCGCAAACTGGCAGAAGAGCTCAAGACTAGTATAGCAAAAGCAGACGAGTTGCTTTTGGGAGAGGACAGCAAGCCCAAAGAAGAGGAAACTGCCACCAAAGCAGAGGAGGAGGGTCCAGAACCCATGAAGGAAGATTAGGGCCATCTCTTAAAATGGCAGTGGCCGTGTAGTCAACAACCAATCGAGACAACAACGCAGAGTGCCAAATGGGGTTTCTGGACATGTACCTATCATCGGCTTTGTGGAGAGGAACATGATATTCCTCTCTCCTTTTTCTACTCGGGCCATTGTAGATTGCTACAACACGTATTTATTGCTGGGCTGTTCTCGTCACATTCGCAGTGAGATAGTAGCTACGGTAGCTTGGCATGTCTACACCAAAAGGGTTGATGCCTGTCGTCTTTACTTCGTGTCCTTTTTCATTTCTAATATTATGCACGGCGCTGTCACGGCAGCGGTGGCTACGTTTGATGTTTGATCAAAACGGGTGGATGTTCAGATAGATCGCATCCAATCGGAAGATTTGACTACAGTACATGTACTGATTCAATTCAATTCCGTGGAACCGTCCCAGTGATCAAGCCAATCATCATTCTCAACGAATAATGCATCCACATCATCCCCATCTTCCTTTTGACATGGACCAGGAAGGCAGGAAACAAATTTGTGACCTCCTCTACAGGAGTCCTTGGGATAAAAGACGGAAATCTTTTGGCTAGTGCTCCCGTCACATTTGCTGCTGCCACGGTAAAGGGTCTCGTAAAAGCCCTTGTCGGTGCAATACACATTGTTGATGGACACATGCTGAGGATCGTTCGGATCACTTCCACATACACTGCCCGTTTCGTTCCAGCAAGAAATCTTCATGGGACGAGAGCTCGGCTTGCCTTGGCAATGGAGAGGGTCCTTCTTGTAGACGTTCAACACGGCGCACATTCTCGTACTGTTGCCAAGATAATCCGCTTGTGCTTGACAAGCCAATAAAAGTAACAGGATGTGGAGAGATCGCATCTTGATTGTATCGTAATGCAATGCACCGATAGGTTTGTACCTGTATCCAGTAGCTAAGGACAGTCTGATGTCAAAGCACAACGGAAGGTGATGTTGATGTGGATGTCGATCGATGGTCGATGGTCGATGGGATGGATCTTTGGATCTTTGGGTCCCGTACCAATAATATTATTATTGCGACGGTGGGATAGTACGTGTACAGGCGCAAGTTCCTACTGGTTGCGATAGCTAGCTACCTGCTAGCTAGGTTAGAAATGTGGGTGGTGAAGATGATGATATTAGGCATAGCTAGAGGTATTGTTCGTGCGGGCGATGGATGGCAAGACAAGCCAACGAAAGATCTTGTGCTGAGCGATATCCTCACATATATTTGAGCCTCTACTAGCTAGCTCATAGCTAGCCAGCTTGCCAAGGAGATGAGACCCCTCCCCCACCCCAGCTGCAGCTACTAGTATCCAGACGAGGTGGATGGTTAAACAATCGACCTTCAACCTGGCTGCACGACAACTGGCCTTCTCCGCGACGACGTCAAAAATACACGTCGGTCACAATCGTTAATTTAGCTGAATTCTTGTTCGCAACATCGGTAGGTGACATGGTTGTAAAAGAAGGTGACATGCTGCAATGTGCCGATTACTGCTGTTGCTTTCAAGAGAAACGACGGAGCTCGCTTCGTCGAATTTTCAAAGCCCATTTTCTGCTTTCCACACAGGCTACGTACGTGAACGGAATTGAAAGATCAAACCGCTGCAGTAAAGATGACGGAAGAGAAGCCGAATCACAAAACCAATGGCGCTGTGTGTCCGAATCAGCAGGGAAAAAGAATGGAAACCAATGACACGATTGCTCAAAGCATCGCACTTCGAAGTTCCCACCAACGCAATTCGCTCCTCTATTAGTACCATCGTTGGATCCAATGCCATTGAAGAGGAAGTGAGTCAGCGGAAGCAACGGATCCATCCGAACTCTTCGGATGCACACAACATGGCACGGCTGCTGTCGCCTTTACAAGCGCGGCGTCATCTGCCGAATGATATCCCTCCAACTCTGACACCGGGTGCCTACCGGTATGCCGTGCAGCCTGGAGGATTTCGCCCAAGAATTGGGAGAAACAGGAACCAGCAGAGACAGCACCGGCAAATGTCATCCCTTGGGACATTGCAGACACCCCCTCTGCGTCCGCCATCAATGGTTCATGGTGGGTTGGCTGTGCAAACCCCGTAATCAAGGGAAAACTCACAACTCGCATGACAGAAGAATGCGATCTGGATGCAAGTCGGCCAAACAGAAGCAAATCAACAGTTCAAGACCAATATTCTGATAGCAAGTCATCTTTCACTTGGCTGCTAGCATTGCGTTAGTTGTAGCGCTTGTCCCCACTACACAGGAGACAGGAGTTTCGCCAAGAACCCCTCACATGCGTCAACTCCTCCAAATCTGAGTGACCCAGCAGTAGCACTTCCATGGCACGGACTACCATCTCAGATTCTCTAGCTAGAAGACCCCGATTCTCCTCAATCCTTTCTTTCCATTTTTGAAACTGGCTGTTGGAGGATCGTGATGAGTTCAGTTCGCTTTCCTCTGAGCGGATTGTTCTTCAAAACTACGGTATGTCTTGGCAACACTTTGTACGTTGCTACCGGTAGCTGCTCAACCGGTTGCCACCAGCATTCTCCCAAGTCGCAGCGTGAGCGCAAGAATCCGAGCTAGCTACTAGACTACATGTAGTCCATGCAGTCCAAGCAAGCTGGACAAAGCGTTCATGGGCCATGTGTGGCATTGCGATCGTGTTTTTTAATCCTGAATTTTTTGTTCATCACTGAAATGTTCATTTGTTACTGAAATCTCCGTTCATCACTGAAATCTCTGTTCATCACTAAAATCTCTGTTCATCACTGAAATCTCCGTTCATCACTGAAATTTTCGTTTTCTGTATACTGAAATCTTCGTTCATTACTGAATGTTTTTCGTTCTCTACTGTATCGTGAAACAGATAACTCACTGGACCGAATGCCTCATTGTTATGCCTGTCCCATTCGCAACAATTGCAAGTTATTTCGCGTACGCAGTCGGCTTCTAGTCGGCTGTCAGGCTTTTCAAAACATTGAAAAAGCCGGCTTTGAGATGATAAGGAAAACACCCGATCACCTCGCCAGCGATGTTTACAACCTCTCCCCATTCCATCCCGTCCAAGTTTGCGGCGCCTAGAATGGTTGTTATTTTAAAAGTGTGCTTGTGTGGCACGTTCGTTGCAACTTCCACTCCATTTCCTCTTCTCTACCTTGAGTTTTGTGGTCCATGGTACTGTACGTTCCACGCCGATCTCGGGTTCCACGCCACGCCTTGTACTTAGGAAAATTTTTACCGAGAGTGTGGAGGTTATCTACGGTATCGAAGGGCCTGTTGAAGCAAAAAGAAGCGTCGAAATTCTGGATTGCTGACACGTCCACACCCCCCCCTCCTCTCCGATCCTTTCATTTTCCGGGATTATTCATCTTCCAAAAGTAGACACTACCGGTAGCTAGCTACTAGCTAGCTAGGGCACAAGCAATCAAGCAGTTAGTCCTAGCTTGTGGCGCTCCTATTATTACTATCTACCTCTCCTAATATAGTATCTCGACAATGAACGAACAACTCAACGCAGCGGCAGCGGCAGCGGCAGGCGACCAAAGTGACGATGACGAAGATACTAGTAATAGCAATAATAGAGAGTCGTTTGCATGTCCGCGTCACGACTTCCGCATGAATTTGACGGCGACGGAACGGCACGAAGCGTTGGCCATCAAGACGGCGATCGAAGCTTGTCCCGATATAGACGATTTGCCGGATTTTGACTATGTGCAATTGGCATTGGTGGATCACTCTAATGTTGAACGCGCCTTGGAACGAGCGAGGCACTTTCAAACGGTGCGAGCGGAATATGGGTTTCAGGACTCCTACGACGAAAACGTGCGATTGGTCGAACACTTTATGCAACTAATGCCCAAATTCATGTTGGATTTGGCGTACAATCAAGACGAGGGCAACTACATTTTGGTGGTGGACATTGCCAATTTTGAAGAAACCAAAATTCGCACGGTCGAAGATGACAAGGCACTCATGGGGACGGCGTTGAACATCGGCCACTTTTTGTGTCCCGACTTTTTTGCCATTCGACAGGGAGCTTATGCCGTCATGGAAACCGAAGGATACAATTGGAAACAGTACACGATGAAAACCAGACGACGCATTTGGCAAGAAGTATTGGGCATCTATCCCGTCAATGTCAAACAGTTAAAGTACTTCAATACCGGGCTCGTGGCCAATCTGGCTGCTTCCCTCATGAAACGCTTTCTTCCATTGGAACTATTCTCCAAAATTCAAGTGGGATGCACATTTAGTAATGGTGGTCGTCTCGATACCTTTTATGCCGTACCATCCCACCAAGTGGCCAATCAACGATTCCAGGCTAGAGCAAAGCAATGCCTGCAAATTCGATACGAACACCGACGAACCTTTCGGTTGAATCCAGATGAACAGCAAGATGGCGAGCAAGCAGAACAACAACAAGTAGGGCAACCACAGACAGCAGGAGACGTCGAAGAGCCGTAATAAGTCATGAAAGTGGGTCGACAATTTAATCAACAGTCGTTTTGGGACAGCTTTCTTCTGTTCGCTCGGGGAATGATGCACACCTTGCTGCCTGGCTACCGTAGGAGTGACGTCGAAAATATAAAGGACAGACAACCCTCACAATTCGCACTCCATTCTGACAGCAACCTGCATTGGGGTTCCCATCCTTCACAGATAATGATGATGCCTACGCGGTGCGACAACGTACGGTACTTTACAGTTCGAGTGACTGTCGGATGATGAGGCCGCACCCTGCGGAGGAGTCGAGTCTGCTGTGCTGCAAGGAATGAGCAAGTCTAGAAAGACTAGCTAGTCCGGCAGGCAGGAAACGTTGCAGTCGACCATTGTATGCGGTTGCCAAGCCAACAAATTGGTATGGTCTAGCTAGCAAGCATGGCCCTCATTCATGACTGACTGACTGTTGGCTCAACCGAAGAATTGACAGGAAGATTCGATTGATTGATTCAAATAACTCGAGCAGATGATTTAACTTGTAACATGCACCTCAACGTTTCATTTTAGTTCAGTTCGCTCTAATCTTACCGTACATTGTCCTTACCCTACAAGTAGCGTTTCTGTGTTGTGGGGAGGTATGTTGTTTTTGTTTGGTTTGTGAGATCTTTCCAAGAGAACAAGCAGAGGGCCTGGGCCAGGGACAACGAACTTGCAAACCCTTACGGTACTCTGATACGCTTGGTTCGGTCGAGTCCATGCCATGGCCACTTCCCTACGGTATGCATTGTCGCATTCCCGATACTGGTACCGGTACTGGTTGACAGCTGCCTAGCTAGCTACACGGCAACTCCGTTGTTTCACGGGAGGTGTCCCTGTGGTGGTGGTACGGACACCAAAATTATAAAAACACGAATTCCTATAATGATCAATCTGTTGCAACTAACGGTGACAAGTATCCATCCTTTGACTGACTCGACTCCAGTTCCACATTTGCAAAAGCAAAAAGCAACCAACTAATTCAATAACTGACTAACTTATTTGATTTCATTTTCTTTGCTTTGCTGGCTGTTGTTGTGTTATGCAGTGTACGAGTCCACCATCCCGATAAACTTCGGTACAGGGAATGCCCACAGCTTGGCGTGTTGGATAGAGCCTTGCCAGTTTGTCCATGGCAACCTTGTCATTGGGATCGTCAAACGCAGGAACCAACACGACCTTGTTGGCGACATAAAAGTTGGTGTAAATGCCATAATCGCCCACACGTTTGAGTTTGTGTTTGGTACAGGGCAAGTGAACCATCTTGTAGGGTTGACCCTGTGCATCCTTGGCATTTTGTAAAATCTTGTATTCCTTGGGTGCAACAAAGTCCTCCTTGTAAAACGTCACAATGGTGTCTCCATTGGCAAATCGAGCCGTGCCATCAATATGATCATCGGTAATATCCGATCCTCCCTTTTTGCCATCCAACCAAATAAAGTTGGTGACACCCAGGTAATGTGAAAAGAATCGTTCGGCATCTTGTTGGGTCCACCCCTTGTTTCGATTGGCATTGAGAATGGAAGATCGTTTGGCCATGAGTGTGCCACGTCCATCCACTTCGATGGATCCACCCTCGAGCACCATGGGAACATCCATGACGGGCAGTTCCAGGGCATGTCCCACTTTCAGGGGGACGTAATTGTCATAGTAATCATCTGCCTTGCCACCCCATGCATTGAAGATCCAATTGGTAATACAGAGTTCTTCCTCATCTTCACTGTTAGTATCGAATACAAAAATGGGACCATTGTCTCGTACCCAGACATCATCGGTGTGGAATGTGTAAAAGTCAATCTGTGTCATGTCCATACTATTGGGTGGTTGGGACAGGATGTGTTGTACTCGTTCTTGTTCGGCATCGTTGTAGACAATAATGTGAACCTTTTCTCCGGTATGCAAGGCTTGTGTCATGGCAATCCAAGTGGCTTCATAGCGCTGGACATGGTCTGGATCCCAACCAAAGTTATGAGGCCATTGCAACCAAGTTCCTTCGTGGGGATATTCTTCCGGTGGCATGCGGAATTTGTCGCTGGTGGGAATGCGAGGGACGACTTTGGAGTCACTCTTGTGGCGTCGAAAGGGATTCATCATGGTTTCTCCAATATCTGTCTTCTATCCATCTATCTGTCCTTTATGTATCGATAGAATTGTGCTCCAGTTTGTACATCAGATTCCTCTGTCCTTCTACTAGCTAGCTAGAGCTTTCATCATCCATGAAGCAAAAGAGGTCTCAAGGTCCCGTGCAGGCAAGGTATCTTCGGGTTCAGTCACGTAAACTGCCGTTTCCTAACCCTACCGTAGATACGCTCTTTTGGATCTGATCTTTCGGCTCTTCGAGACGAAATGCTTAACCCTACCGTAGATACGTTTCTGGTCTTTTCAACGGTCGTTGCCTCTGTTGTCGCTGTTGGGACCTTGTTGTCTCCCCGTACAGAACTTATTGACAGACTTGCTTGATAGAAACATCTATCAGATTATTACTTCAATTATCATGGAAGAGACGGTAACGACGGAAACTCGTGTGAACCCTGATGGCTCCAAGACGACAGTGACAAAGACTGTCCGCAAGACCGCGCAGCCTGGCCGCATCAATGGTGGTGCCAAGGACGAAGCTCCAGCTCCGCCGAGGGCGGCTGGTACAGGACCCCAGGATGGCGGCACGGAATCGGGACGACCAGCGGGGTATGGCTGTTGTATACCTATCCCATGCACCATTTTATGAATTCAGTTGCTAGCTACGGTAGTATCGTATCAGTCTAACGAATATGGAATGAATGAATGCTCCCAGGAGCAATTTCACCCCTCCAGAGAAAACTAGAAGTACATGGTACCTGTCAACGTTGTGGTGCAACCAAGTGATTCGACGCAGCAAACCAGTTCGTTGACTGAGGATGGAAGGGGTTTGGGATACGTGCACACGAAGATGCCAGAATTGATTCGATTCCTTCGTCTAAGACTACGGTACTCCTCCTAACTAAAACTCATCCATAAAAAGTAGTTGTGGCCAGTAATCAAATACCTTCCCAATGGATTCATGGATTTGCTTTAGATGATGGACGTGGCATTTTTTTGGTTCACTTTTCGTTTCTAAAACGTGCAAACCTGCTGCCCCAAACGTGTTGGTTTCGTGTGGTACCATCCTAACTACTGTTGCCATCCATACCGAACGGTAGCCTGCATAATGCTCAGAATTCAAAAGAGAGGTTTGGTTCCATCCATGTGTGCAATGGATGCAATCAATCCCTTGTAGGCTGTTCCAATCCGTTCTTCGGCGGTCTTTGCCATGAGCAATTGCGGTCGAATTTCCATGGCGACACCCATGGCGGGCAATGGATTGACGAGGGCTCCTACCCAAAACGCTAGTTCCGAGGGTTCCTCTACGGGTGGCAGTTCTCCCAAATCTTCTAGTAATTGATCAATTTGTCCTTCAAAATGTTCCTTGGTTTTGGCCAGTTCCACCCATTGATCAATCAGGTTTCGTTTTGTGATTTTAACGCATACATGAATGGCTCGGGCCATCGATAATGGATCTTCCGGTTCCTCGGTTTCCTCATTTAACCATTCCACTCGCGCTTCGGTCCATCCAGCCGGATTGGTTTGTAGATCCTTTTGATCGATGCGAAATCGTCGTCCCGCTTGTAGCTTGACACGTAATGCCTTATTGTTGCCTCCGTCTGCTGGCAATTGTCCATCCACAACTTGGGGTGGATCCACAATTTCCACTTCGACGCCATTTTGCAACGGCCAGGATTGTCCCGTATTGGCCAACGTAGCCGTCCCAATCATACCAAAACGAAGCGACTCTCGTTCCACACAGTCTTTCACGAGGGCTTGGAAAATGTCATTTTCCACTTCGATCTTCAACACTTGACGGGGTAACATCGTGTCCAAGACCACAATCGGCAATTTGCTGTCGCTGTCTTCCACTTGGGCCATGCGGGATTGAAGCGATTTCATAAAATCGTCACTGTCACTGTCACTGCTCATGCGCAACCAACTACTGCTGCTACTACATGTACCAGTGGAAGAAACATGGCTCCATGGAACCGTGCCAATAATAAGAAAGGCATCCGCGCAAGGAAAGAGGGATAACAAGGAACTGCTGGATAAGAGCAGCATCCAGGAGACCCGTATACGTAGAGAGGATATCATGGTGCTTTCCGGATACAATCAAACAAACAGAGCTTTTTTGTTGCCATTCACATCATTGGCCCTCGATCAGCTTGCCTTGGCACATCATATCGGTACGGTCAGCGCACGGAGGTTGAAGGATGAAGGTTGTCATCTCACGAATTTCGAAGAATGTGGCATCTGACGTGATCGAAGAATTAATTGCTTGGATTCGATTCGATTCGATTCGATTCGAGTATTACTGTATTCGTTTGTGATTCGATGAAAGATTCGAAAACGAAAACGCATCCTCGGTGCGCTGGTACTGCGCGCGCGGCCAACAAGAAGATCGGGAAGGCTCGAAATCAAAGAGCTCTGCCTCGAAAACACGTACCGGTACGACTGTACCAGTACAGTACCAGGTGGTACCGGTACCAACAGATCTGATGCCCCGACCGACAGGACACAGGTACCGGACCTGGTACACAGGAGCGAAAGCGGCTGCAGTACGAGTACATGTAATAGAAACACAACATTAGTTGCATCGAGGAGAACGATACGCAAAAGTGGGAAAGTCTGGAAGGAAATAGGTACTATAGGAAATGGCAGAGGGAGATCAACGAGCCAAATTGGACGCACTAATCAAGGCAAATACTGGTATCGAAGCCATAAAGGATGACGAAACTCTCAACTGGCTGAAACAAAAGGGCGAAGAAAGTATCAAAATAGGAATAGTGGAGAGACAGATCGAGCAGGATCAGAAGCTGAAGAAGTTGGATCAGAAACTGAAGGAGTGGTCGATTGCCTGCGTGTTTGGGACTGCGGATGGAAACTTCAAGCAACCACAGATTGGGACTAATACAGCGGTAACACCAATCATCATTGGGAACACAAGAATGGTAAATGGGAAAAAGGTGACAATCCCAGGAGCAAACGTCACGAAACTTGGTCAAGAAAATGGGTTGTGGATTCCAGTGAAAGAAGTGACGATACCGTGGAAGTATCCAGGGCGTGACTTCAAGATTATTCCAAGCTGCCTCGTGGCCCAGGCTAGGGTGTGGCAACGCTGATGAAGGGGATTCTTGGACAATTTGCAGGCAGCAAGTTTGATAGTGATAGAGACCACGTGCTTCATGGCTAGCAATTGTGAGGTGCGTGGTCCTTGGCTGGGTGAGAGGTTTTGTGTGCCACCACCAGCGAAATGCGCCAATAGCTCTCCGAACCCACGAATTCGAGCATCATGTCTAGATAAGAGTAGCTTGCGGTTAGCAGTACACAAAGCTCGTGTACTTCAATCATCGCTCGGCTTCAACGTTCCTTTTCCCAAAGGACGAACTATCGTTTCACACTTGGTCGATCCTCGATTCGATTCGATTCTTTTTGTTTCACCCCGGTGAAACTAAAAGGCGGAGCAAAAAATGTACCGTAGGCGTAGCGAATTGTTGGAAAAATCTTCTGTGTCTGCATGCATTGTTGTTGTGAACTGCATCGAATCAGAATTGTGCTGCTCTCGCATGCATCGAATCGCATCTCACAGTCTGGTTGGCAAACGGAAGCTTTCCCTGTGTTGAAATTTGACTCGGAGGCACTCTCGCATTCGTTGCAAGAGTCTCTGGTTGGCTGCCTTCCTGGTAGGCACGGCATAAAAGGTATCCAATCGACCACCAGGAAATTCGCACCCCACTTCAATCTTTTGGAAAATCTCCAGTGGAACGATTCGTCTCAGGCACGAAATGGCTAGATTGGTAAATAGACCGGGATGAAAGTACTTGATTTGACGAAAGGTACGAGGATAAATGGCCAGTACTTCCTGCCAGCACTGTCGTCTAGTACTCATTTTGACCTTTCTCCAGTCGTATCCTTCGCATTCAATGACCGTGTAGATACCGGCCCGAATGGCGAAAAAGTCCACGGAGGTAATGTGTGCCATGTAGTACAATCCTCCCATCAAAACCCGTTCATCCGCAATGGTCTTGAGGGCATCTTGGTCAAAGCCTGCCAAGTCCATGATGTAAACGTAGCTGCCATCCGCAACGTTGAGAGAGACACAGAGAATCAACTTGGGCATTAGCTTAACCAAGGCTTCTACAAGCCGGAGACCTTCTTCCAAGGTATCCTTCAACTCGTATTCCTCCCGAAAGATTTGAAAGTGTGCCACCCGTTCCAGAGTCTTTGCCCGGTTATCCCCGTCAACAATGGCGAGTTGGGCGCAGTCAAAGTCCTTGATTTGATCCATTTCGGGAGAAAGATGAATGGCAGCCTTGATTTCCAGCGATTGTACCAGTTCCAGCGGAGTAAGCTCCATGCGTCTTGGGTCCTGAGGGCATATCAAACTGACATCGTCAAACACGTGGTTTCCTGTGTTGTCGTCATGAATGGAGGGCCCACTGATGATGCCACCATTGGCGGTAGGCTGCTGGGATTCCATTCCTAGAACTCAACAATAGCTGCCGTAATAGGTATTAGTAGTTGGGTGTTGGAAGAGGAGACTTTTATCTTCTACAACAGGTCAAAACTATGAGATACTCTGACTTTTGCCTCGGTTGTTATGCGATGGTCCGCATCAAAGCAATCGGATGATACACTCAGCTTGCGGTGGCTGTGCCCTTTCAGACACATCAGAACAAAAGCTCCCGGAAAGTTTCTCCGAAACGTTCCGCGAGGTTGTTCTTTTCTACCTATTAATAGTACTGGTAGCTTGTGACTTCTGCAGGAACCATTTATTTCTGTTTCTCTACGGCACAGCCTGTAGAGCTGTGTGGCTACGGCTGTACTGCTGCTGAGTAGAAAAGGTCTTTGGGTTCCCACGCTGCAGTGCGAGTGATCGAAAGTGAAGCCAGCTTTGTGATCACTGGTAGATAGTCGGCGGCAACTGTCCTTGATACTTTTCTACTTTTATTGTTTTTCGATGTTGTATGTATGATTGCTCTGCTGTCGTCCTCCTGACAGATTCTTTTTCTTTTGTTCAGCGTGAATGATGACAACAGGTATGCAAATATCAATCCACCAACTAACTCCTACCCTTCCGGCCAGGTGGTGGGGCGCTTTTTCGTGCGTTTGCAGGGTGCAAAATTGCAACACTGATGGTGCTGATCCCAGTGCTTTCTCTGGCACTCTTTACTGCAATAACTCACTTGAAAACAACAATCGCAGTCCCACAGAGCATGATCGGCGCAGTCGGGATTGCCACATGGTTCGTACTTGCCAATCAGATCCTTGGCAAAGGTTCGCAAGGATGAAACATCCTTGTCCTCAAAAATGGGGAGGCGGTCTCTGTCCGCTTGCTCGGCGGCATCCAAGAACCGTTTCGCTTTGCCCATGTAGCGCGGGCCACACAAAGCATATCGCAGGGCTACACAGTAGCAGACTCTTGCGTAGTGTTCAGAGTCCTTTTCCGCTTGCTGGACTATCTCATCGAACAGCTCGTCTGCCACTTCTTCTTGTGAGCAATTCTCCGAGAATTCAAGTCGTTTGGCTTGAATCATGAGGCAGTACATGGTCATACTGCACCATTCATTCTGAGCTTGGGCCTGCCGGATGGAGTCAGCTGCCTTACCAGGACAACCAAGAAGGTTTTTCACAATGCACTGTATCCAAAGAATGTCAGGGTCTTCTGGAACTTCGCATTTCGCTAAGTTGATGAGTTTGTTAGCCTCTTCAATATCGTCACGGTACATGAGAATGAAGACGTGGACAAAAAGGGCGTCAAATCGGAGCCCTTTCGCTTGGAAGACATTGTTGTAGAGTGCAATCATTTCTGATTCCAATGCAGCCATGTCGTCCAAGAATGTGCCGGCGACGCACTTGTTTGCCTCTATCCAATCCTGGCGGAGGGCCTCTGCTAGTGCTCTCGCCGCACCTTTGAAGTCTCCTGACTTGATGCACCCTTTTGCTGTGTAACAACCATCTGCCGCCGCAAACATCTGCTTGGCAGTGATGGATGCTGGGTATTGAGCAACAAGCTGCTTCAATCCTGAATATCGGTAAGGATACTCGGTCGACTTTGTGAGGTTAGTCTGAGGATCATCAAGTGTTCGTGCTACATAGCTACATCCACTTCTCTTCAAGCGCCTCATGAAGTCTTCTCCTTATTTGTTGCTTTGGAAGGCATAGAATGCATCCCGATCCTCCTCACTAGGAAATGGCTCTAATAATCCAATCATACCCGTGGGTATGTCCAACCGTGCAGATACTCCGAAATCACCACCGGCTGTCTCCGTTATTAGCTTGGCAAGTTTGTTTTACGACATTGTTTGGACTTTTGGCTTACGTCTACCTCACTTGGTTGGTTGTGGGTTCGATGCAAGTAATCGAGGCCGAAGCTTTTATGAAGCTTGTCGGGTCGGAAATCACTTTTGAAACGATCCTCGCGGGTGGCCGTTGCCTCCACAACCAGACGTTTTCAACATCAGGATTATAACACAGAGATACCGGTAGTGCGAGGACACAAGTAGCAAAATCACAGGTTCCGTACCGGTACGGTACCGTGAAGCCTAATTGATGAGATGATGCTTGGGTCAGTAGGGGAAGCCGTCCCACAAGAAGCGATCTCCACGACAAGCGTCCACACTCCACGATCTATCTGTACCAGCCATTTGTGTCACGAAACGTCGGCTTTGCCTTTTTGAAGTTAGTTTTAGTTAGGACTGCTCCGTGCAATCGTCTCCTTGGCCTCTTGTGTTATCATCGTATGAAAAACACATCGGCGAACCGGGTGGAGTCACAACTATAGCCAACAAAGAACCCACGCCCTGAGTGGACGGCTTCTTTTGGAAGCGACAAATGGCCGAGGCAAAGTGAATGAGTGAGCAAGAACCAACAAGCCGGAGACCGCACCAGCGATGTCATTTCCAACGCAGGAGCCTGAATAGCTTGAGGTTGTCACTTGACAAGGCCAGCATGATCAGGCGACAGCCCAGCCGCGGTTGCAAAATTGTTCTTTTGCTTGCTCACCACTCTAGTGTGCTTAGAAGTGGTAGACATGATGTACAAAACATTGAATTGCAATCCAAAAACTGCTATCTTAGTACTACAAAAGATAGACGGGAGGAGAGTGAAGCCCAGCTGCACATACGGCATCTATGCTGGCTATGGAAGCTGTCAACCAGCCTTGCTTTGCTTGCTGTGGCAGGTGGGGTGACGTCAGTGATGAAGATCTTTTGCATTCGCTTTTTAATCTTTGAAGACAAACAACGGGAAATCGAGTACTTTAGTGCAGACCGGTACAAGGAGCAGAAGTAGGAGTATCAGTGAAGTCGCCGCTATTCGTCCGGGATATTGAAGTCGATACTGCAGTTCGCTGATACTAGCTGGTACTTGATCTCTGTTTGTGTTGGCGTTGTCATTCGAGTGCAATAATGATGGTCAAGATCCAAGTCGAGAGCTGTTTGCAAGAGCTAATCACTTATCGCAATTGCTGATGTGCCCGTGCCTCTTACGTCCCCGTTAGACGTCCATGTTCATGCTACAGTAGACTACTACAACAACAAGGTCGTTGTTGGTGGTACTGGTACCTTCGTAGGAAGACCTGGCAGCCGGAAAGGGAGATGAAGATTTCTGTGATTTCAGGCAGCTAATGTTTGCTTCATCTCCTCCCTGAGCGAATTGGGAGGGTTTTCCGAGTGTCTGGCTCGAAGCCCTTTCGACCGTGTCGGTAACAGCACCGGTACGGTACTGGTAGCTAGCTACATGCAGTACCAGTGGATGTTGCTGCCATTGGGAAGGCAACGGGCAACGTAATGCAACGAGGGTTGCGTGTGTGACGGAAGCGAACACCATGACCCGGTGACCCTGGAGAGTGCCTCCCAGCTGAAACGCTTCCACCGGTCGTACCAGCCAGCACAAGAAATCCCCAACCACCGGACGGGAGCTTTCAGGTGATCGCAGAGAGCATTGAAAGTGGTCGTGATGGTTGCGTGAAAGCCGGTCAGCTGGATGGGAAAGTGGCAGAACATGCTCAGTTTCAGACAGGAAGGAGGGGGCAAAATTCTTGAAGTCCTTGGCCGTTGCACTACCAAGTAGCTAGCTAGCTAGGTAAGGCTCCCCTCGAAAGCTGGAGTTTTGAAGTGGCTTGGATCTGCCACAAAACTTTGTGGCCCTGACCTCTACTAGCAAGCAAAGGAAAACATATCTACCCGTTCGAAATCCAGAACCATGTTGCTTGGCACTTCTGAGATCAAGATTGCGTTGCTGGGCAACGTTTCAGCGGGCAAGACCACAGTATTGAATGCCCTTTTCAAGCAAAAGTATGGTGAAGTTAGCATGAAACGGACAACTGCAGGTGTGAACTACTTCAGGATCTGCGCTCCTGGTACCGGGGCACCTGCTGATGGCAAGAAAGAAGAAACGACCAAAGTGGATGATGATGGTAGCAAGGAACCTGTCAACGAAAAGAAGGAAGAACCCACGGGCTGCAAGAAAGAAGACAGCCAGGAACCCAATGTTGGCAACGGCGCCAACGCTGTGTCACCCCAAACCGAAGGATATGGTGCGCAGGCACCTGATTGCCAAAAAGAAGAAGCAATGATCAGAGACGAAAAACCCAAGAGCTGCACGAAAGACGACAGCAATGAACCCATTGACGGCAGGAAGGACGACAACGTTGGCAGCGGCGCCAACGCTGGTGGGGCAGAAGACGGTGGCACCCCTTGGTTCCCGCACAGCGATGAACCCCGCTCTGCCAAGTCGACTTTGGAAGAGATCACAACAGACAATAGGGAACTTCGAGAGAGTGTCGACGTGCAGGAGAAGTGGTTTGACATTGAACTCACCGAGAACTTGGTGGAGATGCGAAAGGGCACTCAACTGGTTGTAGTTGACATTCCTGGTATCAACGAAGCCGGAGCGTGCAGCAAGTACAAGGACTATGTCATTGAGAAATGGGATACGTTTGATTGCCTGGTGCTGGTCATGGATGGCAGGCAGGGAGTCAATACAGAAGACCAGGTATTTCTGTTGAACCTCGTTGAAAACAACAGCAAGAGACGCGAGGAAGTTCCGATTATTGTCTTGTTCAACAAAGTGGACGATCCAAGTGACAAAGAACAGGCAGAACTTGTGCGCGAAGCCAGGGACGAAGTTGCAAGGACCTTCGGATCGGTGAACTTTGTTGTTGATCCACAGGAGGAATCCAACCCAATCATGTCTCCACCTAAAGCTGGTACCCCAAGTCAGAAGTCAGACGGTGACAAGACTGACTCGTCTTCTTTCGCAGCTCCTCAGTCTTCGTTCCCACCCTCAACTTTTGGGACGTCTGGTGCGATGGCAACTGTTGTAAGAAAGCGCCAACAGCAGCATCAAGGAGGGTCCTTTTCAGGGAGCCATTCAGGGAGCCAAAGTGGAAGAGATGGCCGTAGTGTTCACACTGATGATGATAGCCATGTCCACCAGTCACCAACACTTCCAAAGAGTGGTGACAGGTCTAGGCATGCGACTACAAGTGATGCCCCTGCACAGACACCATTTGGCTCTGGATCGTCAGTTCCATTTTCTTTTGGGACATCTGGAGCAACTGGGACTTCAAGTAATGCCCCTGTACCAACACCATTTGGCTCTGGATCATCAGGTCCATTTTCTTTTGGGGCCTCGGCAACTGGGACTGCAAGTAATGCCTCTGTGCCCGCACCATCTGGCTCTGGCTCATCAGGTCCTTTTTCTTTTGGGACGTCAACTACGACTAAAAGAAATACCGCTGTACCCACCCCATTTGGCTCTGGATCATCAGGTCCATTTTCTTTTGGGGCCTCGGCAACTGGGACTACAAGTAATGCCTCTGTGCCCGCACCATTTGGCTCTGGCTCATCAGGTCCTTTTTCTTTTGGGACATCTGGAGTAACTGGGACTTCAAGTAATGCCCCTGTACCAACACCATTTGGCTCTGGATCAACAGGTCAATTTTCTTTTGGGGCCCTGTCACTATCTCCAGTTCCTGCCTCGTGTCTGTCAACAAAGCGCATGCGAGCAAAAAACAGAAAAGTGAAGCCCTCATTCGTTCCAGTTTCCGCGATGTATGCGTTCATCCATCAAAGCGCTTCGTCCATGTCATTGGATCAATTCAAATCCTTTTTTGACAAGGATCTCATCGAAAAGGTTGGTCGCTTCCAGCTTGGACAACGCAGATGGAACAAGCTGACCGAGGACGAGAGGATACTGGAGACGTACGATATCCTCAGCGACTCTTTGATCCACACCGAATCATTGAAAAACAGCAATTTTGACAAGTTCCTCACGTTGCTGAACCAAACTATCGGCGGAGAGACTGCGCAGCGCAAACTAATTGAAGGCCAGATTCGTAGGTCTCTTCAAACTCTGAAGGATGGAAAGTACAACGCGCAAACTATGATTCGGATTATGGGGGGCAGTGAAGTCATGCTCTCTGATTGCATTGAATCCGCTGCTGCCAAAACTCACGCACTCCTTGGAGGGGATGCCGTGAAGAGGATTGTGCCCGACTTGATCGATTCATTCTGTGAGAGTTATCAGAGTCTAGAAGATGCTGCGTTTGCCAACTTGGAACAGGATGGCCCAAGCAGTATCAATGTTCTTGCACTTCCCATGGTTGAACTGATCTCGTGTCACACAATTGGTTCCAAGCTAGATTTGGGTGATCTTGGACAATGCGCTGAAGCAAGAATGAAAGTCTTGTTTAGGAGGCAACTCGTCTTTCTCCTTTGTCAGTCCAGCCAAAAAATCCCAACTTTCGGGGCTGCACTCAACCGCAACCAGCGCTGGGATTTGTGGGTCGTCGATTGGCATCAGATTTGGGGTTCAATTTTACTTGTTGCTTCCATCAGCAAACACTTCAATTTGGCGTTTGGCAGGGAAAAAGTATCGATTCTGGACATTCAGTATGCTATGGCCCAGTCGAAATGGCTGCAATGGGTCGACGCATATAAGTACGCGCCGAACGGCGCATTCGCGAAGGCTAATGTGTGTCCTTCGTGCGGATCCGGGTGTAATGCAAGGGCAAACATGAGATATTGTAGTGGATGCCGAAACGCCTATTTTGAAGGCCTTTCAACGCAAGGGGGCCCGGGCAAATGCTTTGCTTGTTGCATGGCGGTTGAGAATGGCAGATGCTCGGGGGAGGGGTGCTCCTATTCCTACCACTTCCTGGGCGATGCCGTGCTCTACCGAGACGCATTGGTGCACAAGTTTGATGCCACTACATTGGAGCTGGAACCAAAGAGCCCCAACCCGAAAAAGACCGTGAGGGTACCAAGCAGTCTGTCAAGCCCAAAGCATTTTGGCCATATCGCTTTTCTTTACTGTGAATTCATGGAGTCCCTTGATGCCATCGAGGAGAAAGCGTCACCCTAGCTACGACCGGATGGATGATACGGTGGTCCAGAGCCAGAATGTCCGCTCTATTGCATGTTTCTTTCACTTGTAAAGTACTGATGTGCTAACCGACTGCGTATTGACTACATCGTACTGGTATGCTTCTTACTCATTGATTGGTCACTCATCTTCCCGATTTCACTCGGAACTCTCGAGTTCTCTCCAGCCACTTCCAAGCTCATTGAGGGTGCGTCTTCAATATGGTCGACAGGTCGCACTCCCTGTTGTCGGCTTTGTCGTTCTTCTTTTGACAGGAGAGGGCGACGAGGCAGACAGGAAGCAAGCGCTTGCTAGCTAGCAAACTTGTTTTCTGTCCGTGATGCATGCATTCAGATCAATTTTGCTTTATACAAAACTTATCAGAGCAGCCTGTGAAGAGTTTCCTCGTTCGGAGCTGAACCTTTCGAGAACCGGCCGTCGCTCTTGGCCGAGTATTGCTTCTTATCACCGCCTGCTGCCGCGGACTACTCCCACCACTTCCACGGTACTTTGGGAGGTTTAGCTTGTGTGGTGCTGCGGATTGGAGGCCGTTGCAGAATTAGACGTGTATTCGAATGATTGTGGTCCTCAAATCACGCACCCGCCAAGTGGTATTCGGTAGCAGGGGTCAACTCGAAGGTGGATTCTTTGACAGAGATCATGACAAAGTCAGTCGGGAAGCACAAACAAGCCCTTCTTAGCCTAAATACTGGTTGGTAGCCAAGGATAGACCAAACCAATGCAGGCCCCGTATTCCACGGTGGGACTCCACGCAGTCGCCTTCTTCTCGCACACTAGGAGACCTTGGCTGCCTTCTCGCTCTTCTGATGGGAGGTGTGATAGCTGGGCGACCAGGCACCACGGGCGAAATACTCCTTCCACGGGTGGTGCGCTTGGGGCGAACGGGATGTTGTTCCTGTGGATTTGCTGCGAGACGATGCCTCGCCGCGCTTGGGCGAAAGACTGGACTCCTTGCTTTTGTGTATCCTTGTTGGCGGTGAGGAGGAGACAGACTTTGAAGAAGAAGAGGTGGAGGATCCGTAGGAAGTCCAGGAGATGAGTGTCGAGTTTGAATGTTTGAATCTGTCCGCGGCAAGCGACGTGCAAAGGAGCACAAAAAAGGCTTCTGGAGAATCTTGGGTGCGAATCGAATGATACGGTATTAATTAATACTGTACATGTATACATCGTACTGGTACCTGGTATCATTCAATCGACTACAGTACTGTATGAATTGTGCAGAATCCTGGGATTCTACTGGAAACAAATCCGCGTACAGTCGTACGCTACCGTACGGTAGCGGGTGAAGCCTTTTCAATGCCTGGTATGACATACATGGTACTTTTACTGCAGGCCCGTTCGCTCCGGGATTGTGCATCACTGACGCACGCACGGCTACCGTATACCGTACGGTACCGAATGTACTGTACTATTAATAGTAGTCTACGCACAATAATTGGGTTCTTCCAATCGCAAGCAGTTCTCCGTGGAAGTGGGTGGAGGCCGTTTCCTCTAGCTACGGTAGAGCTAGCCAGTCGCCAGATAGCGGTACCGCTACAGAATTTTCTGGCACAAAGAGTTGACCGAGTCTCCTTGCTACCGGTCTGCGAGAAGGAGGACGAGGAGCTTTGCAACCATAGACATTACTAGCTAGTAGCTGAACAACAACGCAGTCAGGGCAGGGGCGCGCTGTCGCTATACGGTGGGCACAAGCAAGCGCTCGGACATCGACCTTGCGCAAAATGATTAGGCGAAGAGAGCAGCACTGTGCGTTGCTAGACAACAAACAGGACAACTGGAAAGCATGTAACATTATACTATGAATCAGTCTGTTTAGGCAGGAAGAGCTGTGGTGAAGCGTTTCTCTACAGGTAGCATGGCGGTATATGTAGGTGCACTGGTGGTTCTCTCAAGAGGAACACACGCAATATCGTCACCTGCTGCCTCGGACAAGGAAGAAGAGGCTAGATCATCATTGAAACTCGATTTTGCGGAAAGAGTCGTTTTCTTCTTTGGTGGTGGTGTTTTGCTTCTTCCGTTCAGCAGGGGCCCAAGTAGGCAATTGGCACTCCGGCTTCGCTGGAGAGTTGACGCTGTCACGTGGACTGCTGTGTTGGCTACCTCCATCGTGGCATCCACTGCAAACTTGCCTACTCCGACCGTTGCTCCGACGGCAGCTCCGGCTACAAGGATGGGAAATCCAACTGCAGCCTGAGTCGTGACCAGACCAACGTTAGCAGCTGTTGTAGCTGTCTTGGTAAAACCAGTGACTGCTGCCGAAGCAAGTTCTTCATAGAAGGAGAAGGATCTTCGAAT